AAAAACCCCACCACTAAAACCCCCCAAACAAACCAGTGCTCACCTTTATTCTTAATCTACCAACTTCATTGACCATTTCAGAATACCTGTTCTTCATTTCTCCCTGCAAATTAAGGTGGGACTCTCTCTCTCTCTCCTCATACACCCTTAATTTCTTCATAGCTCTGCTCAGGAGCCTCTTCAACCTGCACAGCAAATTAGTCAAGAAAAAGAGCAAATGAACAACTGGCCTGTTTGACATGCTCTCACGTAAAGAGCACAGACATGGCTTGCTTTGTCTTTAGCGTGCTTGACACATCAGGAATTACTGAGAAAAAACAGCATTCCTGTGCAACAAGTCACTCAGAGGGTCCAAATTTCACCTGACAAGAGGAATAAGAGACTTCACAGAATCACAGAATGCTAGGGATTGGAAGGGACCTCAAAGGATCATCTAGTCCAATCCCCCTGCTGGAGCAGGACCACCTAGATCAGATCACACAAGAACGCGTCCAGGCAGGTTTTGAACACCTCCAGAGAAGGAGACTCCACAACCTCTCTGGATTTCCTTCCCTCCCAGGAAAACCTTGGGGCAACCAGCATTTGCAGTTCTTTTAGCAACTACAGAAAACTACAGGCAGATGTACAGAAGCACCTTGCAAGAATTAACATGGGGCACACAGAGTTACATACAGCTATTTTTGTGTTAAAATTCAATAAAGCTTGACTTTTACTCAGGGATATCTCTTCACCATACTAAAAAGCCATACCTCTTACAGTCTTTCTGCAGTTCAATATTTCTTTTCATTTCTTGGTCCAGACGCAGTTCAACTGGGCGTTTCAACTCTACCAGCTTCTTCACTTTCTTTCTTTCAGTCTCACGCTTTCAAAATAGAAAAGATACATGACACACAGAGCACAGGAACAGTACCCACATGCAGTATGCGCATCTAGTGCTCTCCACAGAGCTGCTGCAACAAATCTTTATCTGTTAGTGAAGTTCCACAGAACAACAGGGACAGAATTCCTGAGAACATTTAATCACTTCAGGAGCTTCTTCACTTTCTTTCTTTCAGTCTCACGCTTTCAAAATAGAAAAGATACATGACACACAGAGCACAGGAACAGTACCCACATGCAGTATGCGCATCTAGTGCTCTCCACAGAGCTGCTGCAACAAATCTTTATCTGTTAGTGAAGTTCCACAGAACAACAGGGACAGAATTCCTGAGAACATTTAATCACTTCAGGTTCCACATCCAACAGGCCAATACCTAACAACAGAAATAGATGCCCCTGCTGAAGCAAAGGCCGCCCTCTTCTAACGTTTTAAGGCAAAAAGGTAGAAAAGATGTTGGAGAACACTTCAGCAGTTCTTCTACTCATAGCAGAGATTATGGTGGTAAGACTTTGGAATAAATTGCCCAGAGAGGTTGTGGATGGCCTCTCCCTGGAGGGGTTCAAGGTCAAGTTGGACAGAACCTTGAGTAGCCTGATCTAGTTGAGAGGTGTCCCTGCCCACGACAGGGAGGTTGGAGTAGATGATCTCTAAGGTCCCTTCCAGCCTATGCCATTCTATGATTCTATGATTATGTAGGTATGCACATCACAGGAGAGCATAGGTCAATCTAAAGCTTTCATGGGATCTTCAGTGACCAGCAGGCAGGGGCTTGTGAAGGAATTTTTTCTTTTGGAATTCTTGAATGTTTTATGCCCCTCTGCCATTACCTCCATCTCTTCTTTTTGTGTGTTTACTTATTCACATGTTGTTCTTCCTCTTGGTGTTTTCTCAGCAAAACCAGAGGAGAGCTGGCAACTGTTTTGACTTTGTACTTCCATTTTTCCTCTACAGAAAAGGAGAAAAGGGAAAGACGTGCCCCTTGGAAACTGACAGCCGTTTCTTGTTTCCCAAGCACTAGTTCATTTGGCCAGAAATCCTTCAGTACATTTTTCTGCAAAGCTTTTAAGCTCCTGCTACCCTGAAAACATGCAGCAGCTCCTCCATACATTACAGTGGAAACATGAAGCAATTTTAACCCTGCCCAGAAACCACAGGGTCAGAAGATGACCAGAAGGGATCCAAGGAAAGAACTAGGTAACTGTAGCCTTGCTCCATGTGCTCAACTGATAGCAAACCCCACTGGGAACTCTTCCCAACAGAACCACTCCAGAATTTACACAAAGATACCCAGCTAGCTTTTATTTGCTTCCTGAATGATCCCTAAGTGACAAGATACTCAGTGCCTGAACAGCAGGGGTAACAGAAAAAGCTGAGTATGTAAGAACTCGAGAAAAAGGTGGACACGGTTCTCCTGGGTATTGGCTAGATATCTGGAGAATTTTCTGGGCTCACCTGTTCCAAGAGTTCAGCCTTTTCCCTGTCAAGCTGAGCAATACGCTCTTCAAGGTGGGACCTTGACTTCAATTGCTCTTCCCACATGCTGTGCAAGTCCTTTGATGTCAGAGCCAGCACATCCTGCTTTTGCATCTGTGAAAGCAACAGTGGCAAAAGAAAAAACTAAGATGACTGGAAAAATAACACTGCAATGGAAAGCTGTAACTTTAATGGAATCAGGCCTAAGCTCTCCTCTTCCCATCTAAGATCTACAGTTAAGGTCAAGGCAGAGTGTAAAATACCTCGGGAAGCATAACCAAGAACAGCCATCGAAGCTGGTGGAAAGAATGAACACTCTAGAAGTAACAAGATGAGGTTACAACTTTGGGGGATAAGATGACACAGGCATGTACAAAATCACCCTACAACTTTCTTCCAAAGGTCCTCTGGAGGTTATGATACATACTTGAATAATTCCTCTAGTGCCCACCACAGAAAATACTACTTCACTACTTCTGTAACAGCTGTAAAAGAAAATGTTTTCAAATAGCCAATGCTATTTATGCTTCTACCCAAAGGGGCAAAGATTTGCCTAACAGATGCATTTGAGAGAAGGAGAACGTGCAGATTCAGTTCAAGTATAAAGAATGCATGTTGACTAGATCCTTTTAGTGGCATTCTATAAGGAGAAAAAAAACCAAGTCTACTGATCTACAGAAAGTCATGCAAACCTTAGCACAAAGGCTTAAAAAATCATAAGGGTGTACAACTTTCTCAAGCATCCTTACAGAGTAAGTGAAACACTGGGTGTTGTGACAGAAGCTCACATGGTCTCAAGGGCAAGCTTTGACAAAGCTGCAAAGGTAACACAGATCTCCCAAGTCCAGTCTCCTCTCTCAGCTTTCAACCACAGATCTCCCTCCTGCCCATAACATCCATCCTATCCATCCTCTGCCATGGTTTAACTCCAGTAGCCAGCTAAGCACCACATAGCCACTTTTTCACTCCCCCTGGTGGGACGGAGGAGGGAATTTATCAAACAAATCACGCTGACGAACACAAGTATCTTGCACACCATCACACGGATATAAACCACAGCAGCAGGCGAATGAGGAAATTTATAGACTTTTCCCTTGAGGGTGCCTTGCCCTAAAACCAGAAGGGTATTTGTCATCTGAACTGAGTCTACTCAGCTCACCTGATCTTTTCATCAACTACCTGCACACAAAAATTCAAAGACTAAAACAGTCATTCACAGAAGCCAGTCATGTACCTGCTGCTGGTGGTGGTCCTCTGCAGCTGCCTGTGTTGTCCGTAAGCCAGTTATCAAGTCTTCCAGGCGGCTATGAACCTGCATTTAGAGAAGCAAGAAGACACTATGACTTTCCAGACTGAAGTTTACACCTCATTACCAAAAATATTACATATGCCTTTTCACTTCTTCATGCCTACAGTATTTACACCCAGCACCAATGATTGAAATGGTCTTCATTTGATGCCGCTGTGAAACCGTGAGCAATCATCACCTCTGCTGTGTGCTCCAGGGAGAGAGAACACCATGTGGGATGCAAAGAATCTTCAGTGAAAACAGGCAGGAGTAGCTTTTCCCATCCACAGTACATTTGAAACCCAGGGAAGGACCAGCACTGGGACTGCCTCCCCTCTTCTCTTGTCAGTATCAGTACATCACAAAGTTCAACTTGCACATGTAGTTATTTCAAAATCTCTTCAGCACTAATTAACAACTACAGTGGTAACAAGAACTCTAGTTCATGGGTTATAATACAAAAATAATTTGCTTCATACAGGCATCCTGCTTTCACTGGGACACAATCATAGAAACTGTTTTCTGTTCAGAGAAGTTACGTTTCTGAAGTAAGCTGCAGTTCTAAAAAGACTGCAGCATCGGTTGGGTGAGAACAAAGTTGACAAGACACTTATTTTTAGTTTGTAGCCAGACATGGCATGCAGGTATCTATAGCGCTCAAGGACTTCTCAGCTTGTTTTTTGCTAATTACCCAGATGTCCAGGAACCTGGGGGAAGAGTGGCCGGGGTGACTGACACCTAAATTGGCAAATGGGTATTCCATACCAAGTAACATCATGCTTACTATAAATGGGAAAGTTTGTTGGGGACGCGCACTCTTCTCTCTCCTCCTCTCCCTCAATGGTTGCTGTCACTTGCCATTCTGCTTCCGAGGCCTACTCTCTCTTCCAGGATTGCAGTTTCAGGACTTTCCTGCTCTGGGTTCGCTAGCTGGGAATGGGGTGGACATTGGTCAAGGGGCGGTGAGCAATTGCACCGTATATCACTTACCTATATATATTATAATAGTTACCATTACTATTTTTCATTTTATTTTATTTCAATTGTTAAATAGTTCTCTCAACCCATGGGCCTACCTTCCTTTTCTGGATTCTCCTTCTCGAGCGAGGAGAGGTCGCCAGGTAACAGAACAGCTGGCTATTGTTTACCCCTGGACACAGGCTAAACGTAGACAACAGGCCACAGATGACAGCACCTTATCTGAGCTAAAATTAACCGCTGTGTAAAGGCAGTGGGAAATTCCAAGGCTCGCACTGAGTTCTGCATATGATACCACTGTTCACTGTTTCATGAAACCAAACACACACTAAGTGACCAAACGAAAAGCAGTTCTGTACAATAAAAGCTCTAGGGAGTACAGGTTTTGTTCCAGCCTGATGATGCCAGTCAGCCCTCCAAAACAGAGTGCTTGGCATCAATATCTCCTGTGGAATTTCAATGAGTTAATTTGATGAATACCTTTACTGATACACGTTGCAACAAGTGTCTGAAGCAGCACCTGGTATCACTACAGGTCTAAAGCGGGCAATAGTTACATCAGCATACTAGTGTCAAATCGTTATCTTAGCTGCTATAGTAGCATGGGAAAACTCTCAAAACCAAAAAGGTGGGGAGCGGACCAGGCTGCTTTCCAAGCAGCCTACATTCAGCAGAATGCAGGAACTGGAAATGCAAGCTCTCCAGGAAAACCTCATCTTCGCGTTCCCCCACAGCAGTAGGTAACCAGGCTCACAAGCTCACACAGAGGGAAGTTTAAGATCAGCTTACTGAGGCAGAGGCCTGCAGGTCTCTCTGAAGGGCTTCAATCCTGTTGTTTTGTTGCTGGACTGTGGCTTCCAACCTGGCATTTTCAATTTCGAGGCTTAAAAAGAAACATAGGTCTTATTACAGAAATCCACCAGAGCGCCCGTTCAGAAAGAACAGTATGAAATCACGTACTTTGAGACAAAAGCATCCTCCAGAATTGTGCAGGAACTTTTTGTGAGGCAACAAGGCTTCGTGTTGTTTTCATCCAATCCCAGAAAGTGACAAGACATTTTGCTTCAGTGTGTTATTCTCTTACCGTTGCACGTGTTCTTCCAGTTGCTTTATAGTAGTATGAGTCCCGGAAGATGTCAACAGGAGGTCCTGCAGTTTCTGGGAAGAAGCTATTACTTCTCTTTCCTTCTCATCCAGGGCAGTCTTCAAGTCATGAACAC